TAAATCCTGACATAAGTCCAGAAGCATACAGGCAGTCCTTCAGTGAGTGATCCGTTATTAAGGTTATAAATCTAACCCATAGAGTCTTAATAACAGCAGGATAGACCCAGTACACACAGGAAATGATGTCAGATGCTGCACCACTTCAGTTTGTTTGACGGCTTCAGGATGAACCCATGTTTTTACGTTTCTATCCATGTGTTTTTTTATGCATGATTTTGGGTAAAATATCGGATGGGCATGCCAAGATGCGCATAAAATCTTAAATTGCACATCAAAATTGTATGCACACAAGTTTATTTCGCAACATAGCTTCTGTCTGCCCTTTTTATCCACAGATTCCTTGGCTTTCTAAAAAGAGCTCAAGCTCAGCAAAATAAATTAGGAACGGTTTACTCTCTGGCTATTTTTGAGTCTTTGGTGCACTTGTTTAATATTTACAGCACTTTGCATGACATCCTCGAGAGTAATACCAGGAAGGAATTTGGCAAACGAGATGCACAAAGCAAAAATATTAGCAATTAATCTGAAAATATTTCCAGCTTTTAACATATTTGAGATGTTGTGCTTCTTTTTATAGACCCTGTTTAAATTATTTTTATATATATTTTTTCACATTGCTGTGCTTGGTTTTTCATAACTCTTATTCACTTTTGCACATGCGAATGCTCAGTTTTTTTGCTTGTTTTCTTTGACCTGCAGTCTCTCTGACCTCATTAGTTGAGTCACTAATAAATCTGCAAAAATACAAAAAAAGTGAAGAAAGAGCTGAAGCTTTCCAAACGCACGTGTGTGTGTTTGTGCGTGTGCTAGTGTGTGTGTGTGTGTGCGTGCGTGCGTGGTGTGTATGTGTGTGTGTGTGTGTGCGTGCGTGTTTGTTAACTGTGTGTGTGTGTGTGTTTTAACTGTGTGTGTGTGTGTTAACTGTGCGTGTGTGTGTGTTAACTGTGCGTGTGAGTGTGTTAACTGTGTGTGTGTGTTAACTGTGTGTGTGTGCGTGTGTGTGTGTGTGTGTGCGCGTGTGTGTGTGCAGATGCTGACGGCGGTAGCACACACATTATTCATTCTGAAGTGACTCTTAATGTGACTGAATAATACATCTGTCTGCAGCAGTTTCATCTGAAATGTCTTGTGATTTCACAGACAGTCACGATTGTGTCTGCTTTCTGAACGCTGATGGTCCGTGTCTGAAAAGAGACATCACTGAAGCTTTTACATCTCAAATGTTCAAATGTAGAATCAAAATGGACTTTATTAAAATTGTATTGAGAGAGTAGTGTTATTGTTATTGATTCATCAGAAAAATAAATGTTTGTTTTTTAAATCTAATTTTTTCAACCAGCTCTCATATAGAGATGTTTCACCATTCAATCGATTCAAATCAAGTCCTCTCTGTTTTTTTCTTCAGTAAATATATGGTTTTGTTCTGAAATGTGTCACATTATGGAAGTAAAATGCATTTGCGTTTCACGTCAACATTAAAATAATTAAAAGGTTGAAACTGAAGCTTCATGCTAAACTTAAACACACACAGCATCTGATATTCGGAGCTTCTGGGTTTTGTATATACATACATACATACATAAATGCACACACACACATATATACAGTGTATATATATTATATATATATATATATATATATGTGTGTGTGTGTGTGTGTGTGAGTGTGTGTGTGTGTGTATATACACACACATATATATA